TTAATGCCTCTGCCTTCAGCTCAAGTCATGATCTCAGGGTCCTGGGATTGAGCCCCGCATCGGGCTCCCTACGCAGAGGGGAGCCTGCTTACTCCTCTCTCTCTCTCTCTCTGCCTGCTTGTGATCTCTCTCTGTCAAATTAAAAAAAAAAAAAACAACCCACAAAAGGAAGTTCTCTGGTCTAAAAAGATTGACCCCAAGGAATTCCAAGGAGTACTTCAAATCCATTATGAAAACAAAAACAAAAACAAAACAACAAAAGTAATTAGTAATTATAAAAGAATATAAATACACCTTTCTCCTTCCCTCTTTTAACTGATTTAAAAACGAACTGTATAAAACAATATGTAGGTAATGTATGGTTAGTTCTGTAACATACAGAAATTCTTTATCTGGCAAAATAATCCTTCAAAAATGAAGCAGAAATGAAAACATGCCCAGAAAAACAAGTGCTGAGGGGCTCTCCCCTAGCAGGCCCGCCCTTACGAGAGACGCTAACGGAGCTCTGCCGGCTACAACCAAGCTGCACTGGACGAGAACCTGAAACCACACCAAGGAGTAACAGACGATAATAAACTTTACTACATGGTTAATATAAAAGCCAGTGTTTTTCTCTTTTCTACCTTGAATTTTCCTATCTGACTTAAGAGACAAATACATTGAGCAATGATTATAAATCTACCCCAATGGGCACATGATATCCCCGTGAACCGTGACAACTTGAAGCGGGAGGTACAGAACTGTGGGGGACAGAGCCCTGGACAGTACTGAAGCTAAATCGGTGTTAATTCAAACTAGGTTGTTGTAAACTTAATATATTAACTGTCATCTCCACAGGAAGCACTAAGAACATAACTTACAAATACAAGCAATAGGAAACTAGAGGGGAATCAAAATGGCACGCTACTAGAAATAATCAACCGAGCACAAAAGGAAGCAGTAATGGAGGGCTATGGAACAGAAAAACACATAAAATGTACAGATAAAAACAAGATGGTAAAAGGCCGCCTTTGTCACTAATTACTTTAAATGTAAATGGATTAAATACTCCAATTAAAAGGCAAAGATTGGGAGAATGGATTTTAAAAACACATGATCCATTTAAATACTGTCTGTAAGAGATTCACTTTAGATCCAAACCAGAGAGGAGTTAAAAGTAAAAGGATGGAGGGGCGCCTGGGTGGCTCAGTGGGTTAAGCCTCTGCCTTCGGCTCGGATCATGATCCCAGGGTCCTGGGATCGAGCCCCGCATCGGGCTCTCTGCTCGGCAGGGAGCCTGCTTCCTCCTCTCTCTCTCTGTCCGCCTCTCTGCCTACTTGTGATCTCTGTCTGTCAAATAAATAAAAATCTCAAAAAAAAGAAAGTGAAAGGATGGAAAAATATATTCCATTCAACTAGTGACCCAAAGAGTATGGGACTGGTTGGTCATTCTGATAGCAGGCAAAAATAAACCCTAAGTCAAAAGCTGTTACTAGAAACAAAGGACATTCTATATTGATAAAAGGGTCAGTCAAGAAGACATAACAATTATAAAACTACACACACCTAACAAAAGAGCCCCAAAGTATGTGAAGCAAAAACTGACAGAATGGAAGAGAGAAAAAGACAGTTTTGGGGAACCTGGGTGGCTCAGTGGTTAAGCGTCTGCCTTCGGCACAGGTCACAATCCCAGAGTCCTGGGATGGAGCCTTGTGTTGGGTTCCCTGCTCAGCAGGGAGTCTGCTTCTCTCTTTCTCTCCCCACCCCACTGTGCTCTTTCTCACTATCTCTCTTTCTCAAATGGATGAATTCTTTTTTTTAAAGCAGTTTTACCATAATAGTTGAAGACTTCAACACTCCACTTTCAATAATGGATGGACCATCTAGACAGAAGAGCAGTAAGGTAACAGAAAACTGAACATTATAAACCAGCAGACCTAATGGACACATACAGATGTTCCATGCAACAGTGGAATATCCTTAGACATATTTTTAGAATATGTTTAGATATTCTTAGAGATATAGTCCTAGACATAAGTGAAAAAGGAAGCACAACACACCAAAACTTACGGAATGCAAAAACAGCAATGCTCAGAGAGAAATTTATAGCTATGAATGCCTTCGTAAAAGAGATCTCAAATCACTAACCTAATTTTACATGCTAAGAAGCTAAAAAAGAAGAGCAAACTAAACACACAGCTAGCAAAGGAAGAAAATAATAAAGATCAGAAGAGAAATAAATGAAATAGTAAAAAAAAGGGGGGGGAGAGGGAGGGGAAAATCAATGAAACCAAATGTTGGTCCTTTGAAAAGATCAACAAAATTGGCAAAGCTTCACCAGACCAAGAAAAGAGAGAACTCAAAGTACTAAATCCAAAATGAAAGTGGGTACCTTACTAATGACCAACAGAAATTTAAAAGGATTCTAAGAAAATACTACAAACTGTATACCAACCAATTAAATAACCTACATGAAAGGGACAATTTGAAGAAATGCATAAACTACCAAATCTAAATCAAAAGGAAATATAAAATCTGAACATACCTATAACAAATAAGTAGACTGAATAATTCATCAAAATCCTCCAACAAAAGGACCACCAGGGTGGCTCAGTCAGTTAAGCATCTGCCTTTGATTCAGGTCATGATCCCAAGGTCCTGGGGATTTCTCAGTTTGAATTAACACTGCACTGGGCTACCCTGGGCTCCCTACTTGGTGGGGAGCCTACTTCTCCCTCTCCCTCTGCCTCTCCCCTGCTTGTGTTCCCTCTCTCGCTGTCTCTCTGTCAAATAAATAAAATAAATCTTTAGGAAAAACAAAAAACAAATTAAAAAAACCTTCCAACCAGATGGCTTCACTGATGAATTTTATCAAACATTTAGAGAAGAACATCAATCTTTCCCACTCTTCTAAAACAAAAACAAAACAGAAAAGGAGGAAACACTTAACTCATTCGGTGAGGCCAGCATAGCCAAAGACATGACAGGACCACAGGACTCTACAATTTGACAGGTAACTGTGTGGCACAGGAATAAAGCTGTTATATTAAATGTAACTAATGTGAACACCCAATTAAAAGGTGAAGATTGTCAGACTGGATTTGTTGTCTACAAGAGTCTGTGGGGAGGGGCTACCCTTTAAAGGAGGTACCCTTCAACAAATGGGTTAAAGTTTAAGGAGATAGAAAACATATATTATGTTAACACTTGTCAAAATAGAACCAGAGCAGTTAAATTAATATCAAACAATATAGATTTCAGAGGAAAGAAAATCAGCAAAATCAAGATGGTCACTTCATACTGATGAAAGGTCAATTCCTCCTAACAACCCTAAATGTTAACAGAGTTTCAAAATATTGTTAATCCAAACTGAGAAAACTACAGAGAGGAATAGGCAAAGGGACAGAGTTAAAGATTTCAATGCTTCCTTTCAATAACTGACAGGACAAGTCAACCCCAAATCAGCAACATGGTAGATTTAAACAAGACTGTCCTCGGCTTGGTCTGATTCACATTTATGGAAATCTCCATCCAACACCATCAGCTATGCAACGTCCCCAAGTGCACATGGGACATTTGCCAGGATAGGCCACACATTCAAGACAAAGTATGTTCTCTTAGTACAGAGGAGTTACATGAGAAATCAATACAGAAAATATCTGGAAAACCCCTCAAATATTTGGAAACTAAATAAAATACTTGTAAATAATCCATAAATAAGTCAAAAGAAAATTAGAAGGTGTCCTGAAACAGAATGAAAACGAAAAGAACATATCAATGTTCCTAAACTGACAGTAAGAGGGGAAAAGGGAAACTTGTATCAAGAAATGCCTATATTAGACAAGAAAAAAGGTCTCAAATCAATGACCTCAGCTTCCACCTTAAGAATGAGGAAAAGAACAGGGACGCCTGGCTGACTCGTCGGTTGAGCAACAAACTCTTAGTTTCAGCTCAGGTCCTGATCTCAGGGTCACTGGGTCTCTGCTTGAGATTCTCTCTTCCTCTGCCCTTACACCCCCCCCCCCGCTCTCGCCTCACCCCTCACTTGAATGTGCTCATGTGTGTGCTCTCCCTCTAAGATAAATAAATCAGTAAGATCTTAGAAAAAAAAAAAAGAATTAGGAAAAGAACAAATTAAACCCAAAGTAAGCAGAAGAAAGAAAATACAGATCAGAGTGGAAACAGAAAACAGACAAAATAGAAAAAATATATATATAGAAAATCACTAAAACCAAAAACTAGTTCTTAATAAGATTTTTAAAAAGTTGATCAAAAAGAAATCTAATGTCACAAGGAAATAATTTTAAGAAGTAGAGGTAATCAATAATATGATCAATCACACTAAAAATAAAACACCCAACAGCTTTAATAGGCTGAATAAGTGTAAAGTACGCACGGTGATCTCATACAAACCCTTAACAGAGAATAAGAAATTTAGGTGTTCCACCTTAATAAGTGATAAACTTTATTATTCAGGATACTCTTTACCAGGATTTGAAAACGAAATTATTACGAAAGTTAAGAAAAGAAAGCCTTATTTGGAGCAGAGTCAGGAGGCCGGCAGGGGGCGCGCTGTGGCCAGCCCTAGTTATCAATTACAGACCCAACAGGAAGAGAAGCACCTTGCAGGTGGGTAACACTTCACTAACCCAGTTCCTGGACCGAAGGTTTCCCACTGCCCCGGCAACAGCCCAGCCAATGAGAGACGGCCACCGTCCAGCCAATGAGAAGCCACTATACTACCAGCTCCCGGTTCCCTCCAATGGACTTTCTGTTTACAACAGGCCCCCGCCCACCCACCCTCCCCTATAAAAAGAGACTGAGGCGCTCAATGTCCGCCCCTGCCTGGGGTTCCGGCTGGGAGCCGTGCGGCCCGGACTGGGGACTCTGCTCACCCCCGAGCACCGCCTCTGTGCTGGTGGAAGAGCCCGCGGTGTTGTTTCGAAGGTTAATGGTGTGTAAGTCCACCGGCCACGAGAAGGTGTCCTCACCGTTGACTGCTAGCCCGCCCGGTCACTCACCTCCTCGGGGTGCAGGAGAGTCGTGCCCTCCGATGACCACGGGGATCCCCGCGTCTTCCAGCCGCCCCTTCCATCTCTCAATGATGGCCGCAGACTGATCCTGGAAGCACGAGGAGCTCGCTCGGAACAGCCCGGAGGGACGCACGCGAGGCCGCGTCCCCACCGGGAAGGCGGGCACTACCTGACTGGCGTCGTTGAAGACCGAGAGCTCCATGGAGCCTTGGAAGTCCTGCTGCAGGACGGACCGCAAGCACTCGTCCAGCCAGGGCTCGGCGTTGTGCACGGGGAGGATGATCGACTGCGAGCCAAAAGACACGGGTTAGCGCGCCCCGGGACCGTCAGGCCGTCGGCTCGGCGGTCGTGTCCCTCCCGGCCCCCGCGGGCTTCCCGAGGCCGAGGCCGGACTCACCTGAGAGCCCGCAGGGAGGCCGCAGGGAGAGAGGGCGCCCGTCCCCCGCCAGCTCGCAGTGGCCTGCGGCTCCCCGAGACTGAGCAGGCCAGGCCTCCCCGCACTGGTCTGTGGGGCACTTCGGAGAGACACCGGGAGTCCGAGAGGCGCCCGCTCCTTCCCGACCCCACAGCGCAGCCAGTGTTTGCCCATCACTGGTCGGCAGCATCGTCTTGGGGGACGAGCGTCCGCAGGTCTCCCTGCCCCGCCTGAGAATAACCTCCCGGTCGCTCTCTCGGCCGACGAGCCTTTTCGAGAAACAGCGACGTCAGAGACGCCGCACCTCAATCCTCCCGCAGGCTAGTGAAGAGCGGCGGGCGCGGGGACGATGCCGTGACCCCGACCCCTCGGCCCCTACGCCCTCCTCGCCCGGGGGTCTGCTGCGGGGGCCTCCCGCGGCCGCGACCAGACACACGCGTGGGAAGTGAGCGGGCCAAGCCGGGCAGCCCGACCGCCGGCAGCGGGCGGACGCGGGTCCTCGGACACCGACGCCAGGGCCACCAGCCCGGAGCCCGCGCCCGGCCGCGGTGCGCACGAGGCCACGCACGGACACGCGTGTGTGCAGCGTCCACGGGGAACGTGCGCAGGTCGCGGGGCACCGAGCCCGAAAGCGGTGTGGACAAGCTCGGACACCGGACGTGCAACTCAGTTAAGCCCTCGACTCCAGGCCTCCGACTCAGCTGCCCCTTCCCGGATTTGTGGGACCCGAAAAGCGGGCCCCTGCCGCACTCACGTGCGCATTTTTAAAGGAAACACTGTTTTTTAAAGGAAAAGGAGGGAGTGTTTCACTGTGCTCCAATCTGCCACGTAAAACACAACGTCAAGCCCCACGGTGGGCTTCATCGGCTTCCCGGGCTGCGGCCCCTTCGGGCGGAGACCCTACTGAGCAGGCCTTCGGGAAGGCTGACCCTCCGCGGGGAGGGGGCGGGGGCGGGAGGACGCGAGGGGAGAGAAGGGAAGGGGCGGGGAAGGGGGGGGGGGGGAGAGGAGAGGGAGGGGAGAGGAGAGAAGGGGCGGGGAGGGGAGAGGAGAGAAGGGGCGGGGAGGGGAGAGGAGAGAAGGGGCGGGGAGGGGAGAG